ATACCGTAAGATCAGATTCGTAAAGCATGCAACTCATTTTTGAACCACTTGAAGACCATAGTCAACGTGAAGACTAAACATGGCTATATCGAGCTAGACTGAATGGATTCTAAAATTTTAATTATTTTCACAAATTTTTGTAACTAGAATCAATAAAAAATAATTTCGCACAATAAAGATAAAGACACTTCAATCGCTTACCCCTGTATATTATACGCAATAAATTCTTATTTAACGTAACCATAACTGTCTGCATAACATTGCCTTTATGAGAGTACGATTCATTATAATAATTTTAATCATAATTTAGAATTTTAGTTGAAAACCTTGGGTAAGTTCGTATTATTGTTTAACTACTTTATCTACTTCAGAGATAGATACCTCTGCTCTTCGGAGCATGCAAAGAAAACAAATACCGAATGTCAACATCTATTATTTACTTCTTATTAATGATTTAATTCCTCCTTTATTTGACACTTTATTGGTATTTGTAAAGTGCTTGGGAATAAAACTCAATCCTTAATTTATATTTTTAGAGTGCAAAGCAAACATTAACATAACAGACGAATGATATTAAAGTAAATTATTTGCTAATAAAAATGTCAATTTCATAGTGTTGCGCTGTTTCACAATAATTTGCAGTTTAAATTATAGTTCCAACGAGCAACTAATAAATCCCACATTAGAAGCACTTTACTTCAATTAGCGCTTTTGATATGCCAAACCGTTTAGGTGAAGCTAGGAAATTTGCCATACTTGCGATCCTATTAAATAAATTCATTATGTTTTGAATTCGTACGCCTTTCATGAGTCTAAGAGGCGTTCCTCAACTATCACCACCGCCAAACCCATATTTTACGCTGCTGCATCTCAATTTCCTTGCTCTTCGATTCAATTCGAAGCTGAAGAAAAAGAACACTACAACCAAAATGCAGGCAAGATTCAGGCACAGGAATGAGGAATGAAAATATATGCCAGCCAACGCGTTCATTTTTAATTTGAAATAATAAAGATTTTTATATGCACAAACAAAATTTATATTTTATCGACGTATGTGTATCGACGACGTCATATCTCGACCGGCAAATTAAAACATTACACTTGTTTAGCGTCCGTCTGCGATCGCCCCGCCGTTGAAGTGCAGCATAGCGAATACTGCTCAGTGCTCCACTGGAAGTGCGACTGACTAAATGAAGGAAGGAAGGCTTGCACGGAGCGTGTCCAATGTTGCAGTTCCTGTACAAATTTAGAGGGCGTTTATATTGTTGCACATTTTCTAGAACTCTGAAATATGTTCCTTCGAAGCACTTTTTTTTAATTAACAACAAAATGTTGACATTAAAATGGTGTTGGCATCGGAATGAATAATTATTTATTTAGTTTACTAGTTGCTGCAATTTAAAAATATTTCACAGTAACAATAGAGTATTATCTACAGGGTGTTTTTTTAATAGAGTATCAAAAATATAAAAGAAATTCGTCATATAGTCCAAAATTTGAAAAAAACAGGTACATATATCTCTATCCAAACTCCATTCAATATATATAAATTTATATATAGCTGAAATGGGCTACGAGAAATCCATACTAACATCGAGAGTACTACAATCTATCGAAAATATAAATTCTGTTAGGTAAAACCAAGACGGAAGGGATACCATAGTCAGCACTTGTGTCAATGCTAACAGAACACTGGTCCATGCCATAAAATTCGGAATTTAAATTAGAAATGCAGAAGATGCAAAGAAGATGAGAAAAAAAATCAACTAAACATTTTTTTGTAAATGCCCAGGTCAAGAATAATTAATATACTTCTTTGTTTGATGGGCTATCTATTTTGCAATTCAAAAAATTATTATTGCGGAATTGTGTTTGGACCAAGCCAGAAGGTGTGAAATACAACATTATTTAATGCTCTTCCACGAAACATTTCAGAATACTTATTTCTTTTCATATCACTTTCGACAATTTGTATTCATATTCACTTCCGAGATGCAGTGGATCTTATCAGAAAAAAATAGAATATCCGGAGCAAACTATACAAACTAACAACTATCCTAAAAATTGGAAAGTCGATAGTTTTATTAGCATTAAGCTGCTAAAATTGGTGATTTTTCATCCAAATAAATTTGTATCCCATTTATATATTCAGGATACGATATAAAATATATAACTCATGTTACCACAGATAAATTTAGAAGCAGATTTGTAGAACTGTTCTCTTTTTCAACAGTTGTTTACTGTATGGATGTAGGTTGATATGACCAAACATTTTGGAAAAATCCTGAAGACAAAGAAATGAAACAAGTGATTATCATACTGTATATCTACCAAAAAAATCAACATCGTAATATAATAGAATAGCTATGATTTTACCTAAAAATGAATTCTGTAGAAAATAGATAACATAATTTTTAGTGGCAAGTAATTCGGTAAGATATTGTGATAAATATTTTGGAAAATGTTAAAAGTTAATAGGGGTAATTTTTTTCTTTTGCAGGGATCTTCAATATCATGCTCGATATATAAATTGCTTAAGGTATTTCTTTCGTAGCATTTAGATTTGTGATTTACTTTTTGAGTGACTAGAAATGTGTTGTCTACAATAATATATAATGCCAGAGATCATGAATGGAATAATATGAACCGGGTTAAAGCACATGGAAAGCCAATATTTTTCAATAAGATGTTATGATAGTTGGATTTTAAAAAAATTATGTAAGTGAGTAAATGACGGATGTTGTTTTCTATAAATCAAATGATATAATTGTTTACTTTTTCTATATTTTATGTATTTAATAACTTTTAAATAAAAAAGAAAACTACATATTTCAACTTATGCAAATTTTAAATTAAAAGGATTCTACCTAGTCTACCTTTTTCATGCCTATGCTTTCTGGCTTAGATTAACTTATTCCGCATCTTGCTCTCATCTTTCTCTGGAATAAATATTAGAATGAAGTTTCCACATTGCTGTGGAAATTTTCTTCAATAATTCTCAAGAATAAATAATTCTCTGGAATAAATATTAGAATGAAGTTTCCACATTGCTGTGGAAATTTTCTTCATTAATTCTCAAGAGGTGGTTTTAGAGGATTCAAGCTGTCAAGTCACCTAGTGGAAAAAAGGAATACTACATATAATATTGCAGCTGTATTAAAAGTAGTTCAGAAATGTTTATGTTAAATGTTTATTGACTGGTAGAAAATTATATTCGTTTTCAATAAAAAGAGCAAAACTGCATTCCGAAGAAATTAATAGTACCTTGGAATAGAAATTAGATGACACTTGAGACTTTCAGAGATACTAGTTGGGACTACAAGATTTTATAAAATTAAGACAATCATCGGGAAATTATAAATTACATATTGCGGGGCGTTGGGATAGCGCACCGTCCATTAAGTAAAGGGCGGTAAAGGACTTCAGTAAAG